AGTCATTTGCAACACCTCACATAAGGAAATGGTTAAAAAAGCAACTCTAGTAAGCGGTTGCTGCTATTTCTTTTAGTATTGAGATCTCCTGTCAGCCCCTTCACAGAAATACTTGGGTAGTTTGACAGGATTAAGAGGATTAATATATTAATGCATTATTACAGCTTTTATATGAGACTTTCAAAGACTTTAATAGTGAGATCCATTTGTCCTGTTACATAAAACATACAGTAATTGTCTTAATTGCTCCATTGTGACTGTGTATGGCTGCTCAAATAGTTCTGCATGTCTAATTGTGCCAATTGTTCCAGGATCTTGCAGCAGCACAAAACAATAAGGTGAGCCAAACAGGGACTGCTCTCCAAAGATTCCTCCCACCACAACCCACGTTCTCTGTTGTCTCTCTAAACTGGACACAAGAAACACAACTGATCCTGTAATCTGCAATCCTAAAAACTCCTATCCATGCATACAAGGTGAATGCTGTGCAAAGGTAGTCATGAGCACAGATTTGCTTTCTTTCACCCACCAAGTAGACATGAGTGCAAAGTTCAAGGGAGAAAGGCAGTAAGTGAAGTAAAAACCTCACTGCTGAAAGAGGGAAATGTCCCTTTCCCCCTGTGTTGTTTTCAGGGAGGAACCAACCATTAAACATCCCCAAAGCTCTTGTTCGAGCAGCATGCAAACAAGACAACAAAAAAACATGACAAGGTGAGTGCTCTGCTGCTCATGCATGGCCACTGGTCTTCCGGCCATGCACACGTGCAGGGACTTGTCAGTAAGAGTTTTTCTGCAGGCACAGTCACGTATTAGTCTGTTATTAACTTTGCATTATTGATAAGATCCAGTCCTCCCATGAAGACACACTGAAAGACACAGGATCTCTTTTATGCCCTGCAAAGAAACTTGTCAAGTTGATAGGAGAGACACAGTTGGGTGGGTCTCACTTAGAGTGACATTTGACAGACAATTACAAATAGATGGTAATTCAAGCAGTTCTCAGTAAAATACTCTCTGCACCAAAAAAATGCTGATTTACCATGGAAATGAGCAAACATCATTTAAGCTCCGTCAGGAAAAGGATGTGTAGAGTTACAGAGGACTAATTCTGGTGTGGTAGCCAGGAAGGGCAGCCTATTACTGAGGGAAATAACTGATGAACAAGAACAGAATAGCTGGATTCTCACCTATTTGGTCTAGTTCTTTGCCTCTCAGGAACTGCTATCATGGGCTTCCAAGGAAAAAATGTGAGAATAATTAGAGTAGATAAATGAGCGAGAGCCTCTATTGCAGGAGAATCTTTTCAGCTCTCAAGCAGCTTTAACAATGAAGCACAATATCTGGGATCCTTCCAAAAACCCTTCCTGCTCTACTGGGTTATTCAGTCCCTGTCCCATACCTCAGATGGCAAGGACTGCTTTGGCTGCTTACTTTGGGGGCTACAAGCCAGCCCATAGACGTCACAACACACTGGGTCTTGGAGGGCATTTAAGCTGTCTGAATTGGATCAAAATGCCCCCATTTGCCTCTTCTCCACAGCGGTTCTCACTGTAGAGAAGAAAAATGTGATTATAGTAGTAGTGATTATAAACCATCCTTACAAAGGACAGAGCATCTTGCTTTTGAGATACTTCAAAGCAGGTAGAATAACCGCCAAACTTTGCAACATGGTCACAAATAATCAACCTTTAGTTTTCTTATTCCAGTTATTTCTCAAGTTCTCTTGCATGCTTGATTTAATCTGGCTAAAGAATCAGCTGGATTTCCAAAATGCATTCCATGGAAATCAAATGAAAATGCCCATAGGGATAGCGAGAGAATAGGAAAAAAAGTGAGCTGTGTTGGAAGAAGAATTTATCAGCAAGAAACTGAAAGACTTGGAGTTAGAATGAAGTCTGATCTAATCTGCAGAGATGCTTTGTCCAGCTGCAACATCCCATTCCATAAAGAGAGCAGGTTCTCATTTTAAAAGCATACAAGATCACTGCACAAGCAATTGATGCCATCCCCTGTGAAAGCCTTTCTGCAGTTAGGGAACAAACAGCATCACACTGGTTTCTTCCTTCCCTCTCCCCCCTGATTTGCTGCAATGGAAATTGTATTTCTCAGCATGCCTTCTACATCTAAATTATCGTTACCCATTCCATAGGGTACATTGAAGTCACACAACATCTCCCCATTTAAACTCCCCTGGATTGCTCTGGTCTTTGGAAAGCGTGGGTAATATCTGCTGCAAACAAAAGGCTTTGATTTCTTATCATTTGCTTTACCTTTTGGTGTATACAGACAGGCAGGCCGGGAGTGGGAACACCCATGGTGTCCTCAGAAGCTGTGCTCCCCAGTCCTCTCCACCATCTATTTAAATGTCTACATCTGTTTTAAGCTGACAGAACCCAGCTGAGGTAATGACTTTGCCCCCTCCATTTGTGACTTTGTTAGCACTTTACTTTATAAAGAAAAGAGATGGATTTGCCCAAAGGTTGACTGGAAAGAGGCAGAGGTTAAGGTTTAAATATCTGTCAGTAGATCATTGAAGTAGGAAGGAAATATATGTATTGATGAATTGTTTGCATTCCTTCTCATTGTGGGCTTTAAGAAATGCTAATTTGTGAGCTTCAAGCCTGTTAATAAGCTGTCAGAGAGAGATGAAAAATTACATAAAGTGCAGTAATTGAAAAAAAAAGGGGAAGAAAAGCACAGAAATTAAAGAGAAATCTTTGTCCTAATTTGATTTGTGACTTCATTGTAATAGAATAAAGCATGTGTAGATATTAACAATTCATTTACATAACCAACTGCAATCAAGCTATTCAGATAAATGTGCATTCACTTTGGGAAAGGTGGGAGGATTCATTTTAACCTATTAACACCCTTTCTTTCAGATATGTTCTTGTCTACTTTCTTCCATTACCAGATAAAGCTGTTTATTGGTGAAGAAAACAACTTCCTAAATGGCAGTGCATTTACTTTTCAAAGCTTCAGGATTCAATCAACCCATTAGTCTTGGTCTATATAGGAAACGAAGACAGGCCTTGGAAACCAAAAGGGACCCAGTGAAGAAGCAGTATTGCTTGTAGCTGCCATTAGAGAAAGGGGAAACTGAGGCACAGAATACAATTCTTAATCTTCCTATGTTTTAATCCTTGACCTGAAAGCTAAAGCAAATGCTTCTTTTCCTAATTTAGAGGTTCTTGCATGAGCTTTCATGGGAATTCTTTGGGAAAGAAAAGGATCTTTTCATCTGAGACCACCTGAGCTGTCTCTGCTCTTCCTCCTTGTATTCCTCTTATATCCTTTATCCTCGCATCTGTCCTCCAGTGACAAGGTTTCTAATAAACCTTGCCACCATTTCAAACACTTCATATCATTTACCACACAAAGCACATATGCATTTTCCTTGCCTGTCACATGCAAAGAAGCAGAGGCAGAGAAATTTAAGTGGCTCATCTGAAGTCAAAGGAAAAAGCCCTGAGGCGCAATAAGCCATGAGGACTGGCTGACCCCCAAATCCTCCATTCATCCTCACCATGCCCACAGCACTGTGCTCATTACTTACTTTGTCCCTGATCATCATGAGATATACCAGTTATCCACTGAGTAATAAGGCAAAAGGCAGTCAGACTCCCAGATCCTCCATTTACTGGTACAGGTAAGGCTGTCTTTGTCTACATACATTACTCAAGTCTAATTAGAACTGTAAAGGATTTTTATGACTTTGTGTTTTTCTCTTCTCAGAAGTAAATCCACCTTTAATACCATGGAGAACATCTTCTAAGAAAGCAGAAGAGAAGGAAGAATTAAAGGAAAGCCCAAGTGAAGATACAGGAGAGGATGCCAGGTGCAATCATTGCAGCACATAAAGTGAATTAGTTCCAGAGGCAACTAACCATTCTGCTGAGGAAAGGCATGGAGAACATAATGGCAAAGCAGGGAGATCTGAATGGGGATATAAAACTAACAGAGAGTTCAGCAGCCTCATGCTTTCTTCTCATTTAAATGGGTATGGGATCTAGGTGACCAAACTGACGTGAGGATTATTTGTACTGTACTTGTTTCTGCATAGCAAAGAGCAGATTTTGGCATCCTCTTCGTCATGAAATCCTTGCTCTATCACAAAAGAGTGGATTTTCTTTCCTCTTCTGCCAGCTGTTGAGTGAATGATGGGTCGATTGAAGGCTTAAGCCACAAAAAATACATTTGCCAAAGGCACACACTTCCTATTCATTTATTCACAGTAATAATGTACTTGGTTTATAGCCCATCTGGGATCACTTTGTTGCTTAGGTGGTCTGTTCCCCACCAAAAACATGCACTCCTTGTGTTTCCTAGTGGCCAGACCAGCCAGTAGGACACTTGGAAGGGAGAACCTGATTTAGGTACAATCCCCATCATATCTTGTTACTGTGATGTATAAAGAAGCAAGCAGTGATACCAGAGAGACTAACAGTAATTAACACTGTCCTTGACACAGTCTTATCAATGTCCTTCCACAATGTAGTAGCTATGGCACATTATTTTGCCATTTGAAGCTCATTCTGCAGAGGACCAAGGTCTGGATTTACATGCAGGTCTGCCATTCACCATCTTTGAAAATGCCAGGAGACACTTTCGTGGCTGCAGCCAGGGTAATTCTGGGGGACAGGATGAAAACACATCAGGGCAAATGCAGCCAGTGCTGGCCTGGTTCTATCCTTTGGAAAAGCCTCAACCACCAATGTAATCTTATGATTGATTAAAAAGAGAAAGTCAGATGCTTCTCCAAGTGTAGGCCTAGGTGTTGAAACCACTATCAACCATAGAGTGCTCCTGGTTTGCATTTCAGTTTGCTACAGAGCTTGCAATAAGGAGAAGTTACCCAGCCACGTGTACTGGCCAAACCTTAACAGGAGTTAAAAGCTAAGTTTTAAAGCTAAGTTTGTGGTTTTTGCAGCTTTATTTAAGCTTTAGCCCTTTTCCATGAATCAAATGTGAATGTGGTCTTGAACAGCACATAGACCAGAGATGGGGCAACGCTTTGGCAAGCTGCAAAGAGCATAGGATACACCTGCAGGCATGAGGCACCAGGAATGTGCATCACCCACCTTCCTCCAAGGAGAGACCACCCTGCATTGGGAAGCTGCTTTAGCCAGCAAGGTCAGTGCTGTGGGGTAGAGATGTCTCAGCCACAATTCCATGGGACACCTTCAGAGGAAATATACAGCTTAACGTTGAACCAGATCCAGAAGTGTAATAGATAGAAGATTAAAGAAACATTAGTCAGTTTGAGCCAAATGAAATACGCTGGTTTCAAAACAGCAAATCAAACTGTTGCAGTTCCCCTTCCCCTATTACAAAAAAGGTCAACATTTTCACATGGGTATGTCTGCAGAAGCTGCATTTTACTATTAAAAAACAAAACCAAAATGTAAAGATCCAAACCCAAACCTTTCCAAAAGGAAATGTGAGTAAGGTGATAACAGTTTAATTAACATGGATTAACCAGTGCAGCTGCACAACACCTTCTGCTAAAAGACATTCAAGTCTATGTGGAAACCAATGTCTTTCTGGATACTTGTGTTCTGGCTGTAGCTTCCCACACATCAGCATCCTCAGCACCCAACCAAATGCTCTTTCCTTGGCTCAGCTACCTCCAAAAGCACCAATGTGTCTCCACCACAAACCTGAAACTTTCTGAGGAGTACTGGAAAACTGGCTCATAGAAAACCCCCTTGTCTGCTTTCCCATCAGCTTTGTTGGCACATATTCCTCTGTATCCAGATGGAAAAAGCACAAAGGAAAGCAAATAATGGGGTTGAGTTCATGTCTATTCTTTCTTCAGCTCCACTCATACACCACTGTTTGTTTATTTTCTTTTTATTGCATGTCCTTGTCTCGCAACTGAACTCCTGTGATTGAACTGCCTGTACCTACAGAACGCCTGGGGGAAGGAGAGAGAGAGTAAAGGGGAAGAGGAAAGGAAGGGGAAAAAGGGAAGTGGCAGGGGGAAGGGGAAAATAGGAAGGGGAAAAGAAAAAAGGGGGGGGTGTGGAATGAAGGGAAGAGATAAGGGAAGGGAAAAGAAGGGAAGGCAAATGGAGAAAAGGGTCCACGCTTTGAAAAGGGTTGCCCAGCTCTTCAGCAGTAAAACAAAACCATTGATTGCAGAGAAGTGCAAGCTTTAGCCTGTTCGCTGGGAATGGCCCTCTGCACCTTCCTTGCCTGACAGGACAGGCACGGGGGGGAGAGATGGGCACAGCGCACAGGTAGTTGGCAGGGAGGGCTGCAAGCATTTCACTAACATCCTGCTTAGATCTATATTTATACCTGTGCCCGGAGCTGAAAGGCAGCCACAGCTCACAGCGAGATCATTTCGCCCACCACTGGACAGCAATCATACCTGAGGTAAAACAGGCAGCTGTACATACTGATGTACTGCCAAAGCAGCAGTGCATGGTGCCAGTGAGCACTTTGATTTCCCCAGACAACTACCAAAGACCCCCGTGTAGACTATTGTCTCAGCAGAGATCCACTGACTGAGCACTCTCTGAAATGTATTTTCACACTCTCTTTAATACTGCTCAGCAAATGGCTTCATTATGCTTCTTTAGACATCTCTGACTGTGTCTATCCCAAGATCTGGGGGAGCATTTTATGGGTGCCTAAAAATGCACCCTATTTATACCTCTGTCTACTGTAGCAGGCAAAATACTCCTTGCTAGACCCTTTGCCTGGCAATCCCATCTCTCACATACATCTAGGTGCATATATTTTGTCCTCTCAGTTTCCTCATTCACCGAGTCACAGAAAATATTGAGCTGGGAATGATAAAAGACATGCCAGTTAAAGGAAAACAAGAATAAAAATGCCACCAGCCTGTGCATCAGCCAAAATACACCTTTGCTTTAGAGGCTGTGGGCAAGCTTGGCTGTCCTGAAGATGCTTCAATCCGTCTTCCATAGCAGCAGGGAAGGAATAGCCCATCCACAGACTTAAGGCTCACTCAAGTCCTCATATTTATGTGGACTCTTCCAGTCAGTTTTCCCCCTTTTGCCAAGGCAGCTAAGCTATTTTCTTAAAGTTTGACAAAGGGGATGCACATTCCTCTTGCATTATATCAGCTGCATCCCAGGGGGACCTTGTGCAGAGGAGGTGCTGCATCCTCTGTCTGAGGATCAGGTTAAGGATGTGACCCAAGTGACAGCTCTTGGGAGCTTCCTGAACCTGGAACAGGTCCAGGATCAAACCTGAAGCGGATTGACATGAAACAAAGACAAAGAATGGGCAACACTTGATCTTTCAGATAGCCAAGATTCAGGTGTCAGAGGTGGCTCAGGTGGCACTTTGTGGATCTGAGGCCAATTCACTGGCGCTTCGCAGCTCAGTCAGGGCTTGCACAATACAGAGCATGAACCAAACAGGGAAATCCTGCCCTTAACGGTTCTTGATGAATGAATGTTGTAAGAATATTTCTCAGATTCCCAGCCATTTTCCCCATTATATGTCCAGGTGATAGCAATGCTTCCAAACATCATTTCTGCAATGGGAATTCCAGAGCCCTGTACCTGATGAGTAAATCTGGACTGTGTTTGAGTAAGTCTCTTGGCAATGCAAAGCAGCACCACTCCATTGTGAAGTCTTGTTTGCTCTGCTCATTGCTGCACATTATTCATTGTCCTCCTAATCCATCAAGGAGAGGTGGAGTGAAATAGAGAGGGAGAAGGTGCTTGGGAGAGGGAGGGGACAGATGAAGGGCAGTGTTGGGAACATGAAGGTGATTCTCACCCTTTATTGTTCAGTGTGTTTGCCATCCACACAGACTATTATCTGGGCCTTAGTTTACTCCCAAATCCAATCACAAGTGACTGGGTGTTGTAATGTAGTACAAAGTGTTCATACCTGATAAATCCTGCTTGGCTCATGTATCTGGCTGAGCTGAAAGCATGCCAGCACCCTGAGAGTAATTAGTCAAAGTCCCTCCTCTGACCAATGATTTATGCAGGACCAGAGGAATTGTTTGTGACAGGGATGTCATCTTAGTGATATCTGCTCTCATCAGCTGTAAATACGGGCGAGCTGTGGGCTCTGCATTCTCCAGCGTTTTCTTAGCACTGCCAATCTGGATTGAGAGAGGGAATATTCCTCTTCTCTGAATTGTACCACAGGCTCTTGTTTATTCGATCAGCTGAAGGCACAGAAATACCCAGATACGAACGCGGAATGATCCGTATTCCCAGTACATCAAGTGTACACCTGCATGATAAACAGATTTTTGACTTTTCAGTATGTACCACACAGAGAAAATTGTACAACAACATTACATTGCCCAGAAGGTACAGGTTCACTCGAGAAGATCACCAGTAATATGATCACCGTATGTTTCTGGCTTCCCAAAAGACCTGTGTCTTAAATTCCCCTGCATACTTGAAAGAGTCACAATAACCCATACTTAACGTGCACTGAAAAAGCATCAGGATCCCAGGGGCAGATTCATACCTGAGTGCTGTAACACCTGAAAATAGGAGTGCTGGAAAGAAACAGAGACTCAAGTGGTATGGGTCTATCACCTCTGTTGTGCCAGCTCCTCCATCCCCTGCTATGGGGGGCTAAACACTCTTTTTGGAGGCTTTGAATAGGATCCATCTTTATGGCTCATTCCTACACATGCTGTCTCCACAGTTGTCCTGTTTCCTATTTTGCAAGACTAAGGTACAGTTTCCATAAAGAAACAAGTGGTATTTCTATACAAATACACACCAAACAACACATGTGCCTATTGGCATTCAGGTCTTTACACCTCCCTGGTGATTAATATGCAGCACAAAAACACACTTCCAGCTCCAGGCATTCAGCACAATAGATCTTCATTTCAGCCCCGCAAAAGGCAAATGTTTGAAGGATTTATAGTCACCCTATTAGGGCTGCATGTAGCTGTGCATATATGTGGCTACAGATGTGTTTCCAGTCTTTGCAATCATGCAAAAACATGCAGTCACCTACCTCTTCATTCTGTACAGTCTGACATATGAACATAAGACAACCACACACAAACTCCATTCATAAACTCATAAATATGGAACATTCTCCCACATATTTACAGCAGGCACAGGCTTATGTGTGTAATGAAGTTGATGACACGTAGGACCCTAATTGCTTTTGTGAAGCCAGGTCCCTGCAGACTCACCATCTCCATAAGATATCCACATCACACCACCTTTCTCTGTGCCTGACTCTCCTGATCCCCTTCGTGGAAAGCAGGGCTGCATTAAGAGCTCTCAGAGAGCAGAACTCATATTGCCAACCAAATTGAAGGCACGGCTTTGCAGGATGCTTAAAACCTAGCAAATCTGTAGCTAACATAAAGACCTCCAGAGCACTGGTAGGAAAAAAAATCCATCAGATTCATTTGCAGACCTAGACTTTGGGGTAGCCAGCTAGTTATATCATGGATAACCAGCTGCAAATGATCAGTTTTAAGGATTTTCAATCACTGAGTCACAAATAAGCTAAATACTCTCACATGCCACATCTGAGCAGCTTGGATTGGGGTTTAGGCTGCAGAAGGGGTCTTTTAAACTGAACACACAGGCACTGGGTAGAAAAGCTGCTTTAGCTATCAGTTTTATTAAGTTTAAAGGAGAGGTGGGGCAAGGAAAAAGGAAGCTTTTTCTGATCACAAAGTCAGCCTGTAAGAGAAAAGGAGAAACAGCAAGTTAGATGAACACTGGCGCCAAAACGGAGAAAACCTGAGCTTCCAGTAGCTGGTCTCTGCCTCATGCAGGAGAAAAGCAGCAAGCATGTGGACACCTCAAGTTTCACTGCGCAGTTACTACTTTTGGTTACATACAATCATAGAATAGTTTGGGTTGGAAAGGACCTTCAGATCATCCAATTCCAATCCCCTGCCATGGGCAGGGATACCTCACACTAAACCATCTCACCCAAGGCTTCAACCAACCTGGCCTTGAACACTGCCAGGGATGGAGCATTCACAACCTCCCTGGGCAACCCATTCCAGTGCCTCACCACCCTAACAGGAAAGAATTTCCTCCTTATATCCAATCTAAACTTCCCCTGTTTAAGTTTGAACCCGTTACCCCTTGTCCTATCACTACAGTCCCTAATGAAGAGTCCCTCTCCAGCATCCCTATAGGCCCCCTTCAGATACTGGAAGCTGCTATGAGGTCTCCACGCAGCCTTCTCTTCTCCAGCCTGAACAGCCCCAACTTCCTCAGCCTGTCTCCATACAGGAGGAGCTCCAGTCCCCTGATCATCCTCGTGGCCCTTCTCTGGACTTGTTCCAACAGTTCCATGTTACATGCCCTCAAAGGAAGCAGGAAACTTCTCGTGGTGGCAAAATGATCTAAATGCCAAAAATACAGAACCTTCTTCACCCCAGGACTTGGGGTGTTGGTTGATGAGAAAATGAACATGAGCAGGCAGTGTGCACTTGCAGCCCAGAAAGCAACCGTATCCTGGGCTGCATCAAAAGGAGTGTGACCAGCAGGTCGAAGGAGGTGATCCTGCCCCTCTGCTCTGCTCTCGTGAGAGCTCACCTGGAGCACTGTGCGCAGTTCTGGTGTCCTCAACATAAATAGGACATGGAACTGTTGGAACAAGTCCAGAGAAGGCCACGAGGGTGATCAGGGACTGGAGCACCTCCTGTATGAAGACAGGCTGAGAAAGTTGGGGCTGTTGAGCCTGGAGAAGAGAAGGCTGCGTGGAGACCTCATAGCAGCCTTCCAGTATCTGAAGGGGGCCTATAGGGATGCTGAGGAGGGACTCTTCATTAGGGACTGTAGTGATAGGACAAGGGGTTATGGGTTAAAACTTAAACAGGGGAAGTTTAGATTGGATATAAGGAAGAAGTTCTTTACTGTAAGGGTGGTGAGGCACTGGAATGGGTTGCCCAGGGAGGTTGTGAATGCTCCATCCCTGGCAGTGTTCAAGGCCAGGCTGGATGAAGCCTTGGGTGCCATGGTTTAGTGTGAGGTGTCCCTGCCCATGGCAGGGGGGTTGGAACTTGATGATCTTAAGGTCCTTTCCAACCCTAACTAATCTATGATTCTATGATTCTATGATTTATTAAGCATAACTCTCATTTTACCAGTACCATTATCTTGCAGCAGGGAACCCCTTGTTTTCCCCTAAAACCCCTGGTATTACTTTTTGGTGCTCTCATGAATGCTTTTTGCAATGAAAGCACCACTCTCTACAATATTATTTTAGTAGGAGCTTATTCAATCAAACAGCATGGAGAAACCCTATCCCTCTCTTACTTCATTTCCTAGCTGCACATTACTTTGTCCTTGCCCACAGTGGGCACACCTGTGGGCCGAGTTTTTCTTTTCCCTTCATTTAGGTTTTCATTTTGTTTGACATGTATCAGATTGGCCAAGGAGCAATTGAGTTCCCAGCTTGGCTCGTAATACTTAACAGTGGTTTATCCTATCCGTTGAGGATCAAATGCAACAACTGAGGGGACTGAACAGGTGGGGACGGATTTAATACTAACTACATTAGCTAGCAGTGGGTCCTGGTGGCAAAATGATCTAAATGCCAAAAATACAGAAACCCAAAGCGTTTTCTGAGCTGCCAATGGGGTTTGCTGTACGGTCAGCCTTAACCTGTGCCAAAGCGAAAGGCATCAGAGCTTCAAAGCGTTAGTGAATTCCCCCAGGGATCAGAAGTAATTTCTTTCCATGCATTGACAATTAGTCTAGTGAAAAATTGCTTGGGGGTAGAGGTCATTTTCCTCTGAATCATCACAGACTGGCCACCACCAAAGGCAGGAACCAATGCAAAATGCATGGATGATCTCAGGAGATATGGCAAATCCTGTGCTCCCACTTAATGGAAAAGCCTAAGCTCTCCTGGTAGCTTCCCCAAGGAACGTGGAGTTTGGCACCATTTCCATAAATATTCCTATTCAATAATTGATGAGCTCAGTAAGTTCCTAGCAAAGGAGCTGCTTCCAGCCATTTCCTATATTTAAATGGAATTGTTTGTTTAAGACCATAAAATGAAAGCCCAGAGGGAGACAGAGAGTTTGACCTACTGTGCCCACTGTAAGAGATCCACAGCCCCAGCAGGGATTTCACTGCTCTACAGTGCTGGCACTATCCAAAAGTTGCTCTTAAGCCCCTAACGAAAGCCCTCTCCCTTTTGTTAAAGGAGCCTCCATAGCCTCTTGGCAAATCATAGCATATAACACCCATGTTAGTGCTCTTGTTATGTTTAATAAGGTCCACACATCATATATGTTCACCTTTCCAGCTATTATATAGCAAGCCTCACTTGCCATGACCCCAGAGAAGCATCTCAGACAAGTGAAGAGATCGGATGCATTATGAAGTCATCTAGGTGATCTGTTGGAGCCTCTTCATCTCATCCTAAGAATGGTACCTAACTGAGATCCGTTGCCAAGTGTCAAAGGCCAGGAAGCAAGGAACTGACATTAGATATCTCCCCTGTGTGACCCTTGCACTGTAATGAGCACCCAGAAGCCTCGGTGGTTTCATGCCTCAAGTTTTCAGCATCTGCAAAGTTAAGGTGAGAGTTGTACAGGAAAGATGTTTCACCACAGGCTTTCCAATGCTTCCTGCTGGCATTTCTGTATGGGCTGGAAACAGCATGAAAATACCCATCATCAGAGGTATTTCATTCCTGCTTTTGATCTGGATCTAAGAAATACAAAGTCAGATGAATGTAGTGTATACAAGGAAAGGAGGAGTTTCATCTCCTCATTTCAGGGCCTGATTTGGATTCAGTGTGGGTTAGATATGCAGGTCTGCAGCAGTCTTTTACCCACCAACACACTGAGTGTTCTCAGTGGTGCCATGTCAGGGGTGTCTGCAGGTCTGCCCTTACAGCCACTACCTGGTTCTGCAGGGTTGTGGATTTCCCAAGAAGGTGCACCTATTTACACATATACTCACAGGGACATCCCAGCAGCACTTGGCAGCCCGGTACTCTCCCACTAATCCTTTTTCCAAGCATCTCCCTCACAAAACCTGCATCTACAAAGCCAGGAGGAGTGTTTGCCGTGCAAACCCCATCCTCAAGAGACGTGGTCTGGATGCACAGAGACATGTTTCTGGGCTCATTGCCTTTGAGCAGAGAGTGATTCAGGAAGCAGCAGCTTCCCTTAGGAAAATACAGGCATATCTGACCAGTCCAGGAGGGTGAGATGTGCTGTTTGCTTTGGTCCTGATCCTGCAAACACTGAGAGGAGCGTTAACTTTATGCTCTGCAAATAGTGCCCCCGCAGCTGTTATAAAGGCATAAGAGTTTACCTTGCTCCTCATCCTTGTTCTGCAAAGCAGCTTGACCCTCTTTGCACTAATGCATCCTGGACTGAACCTCCACATCTATTCCTAAGCATGTTGTAACTGAGATAAAACCTGACTGGGACAGCAGAAGCACATCTGGCTGCGGGATGCTTATAGCACCTGAGGCAAAGCCCTATGTATTGTACGCTTGTGGTTAAACCTGCGCTGTGTGTGCTTGATAGCTGGGTATCAGCTAGGTATATGGCTATGTAATTATACTGCAATTAAATTTAATAGCTTTGCTAACAGCTCAACTGCAGGAGAGTTTGTCTAAGAATTTTTGTACTGGGATTATTAACCTTTTGATGGCTTCACAAATCTATTTACATAGAGGTTTATACAAACGTTTTTGTTGTGATTGTTCTTGTATAAGCCAGCATGGCTCAGTGCAAAACGAATCAAGCAGGGTGGGTGAGTCCTGCTTGATAATGTTCACGGCAGGAAGGTCTTGGTTCCATGAGCTGAGTAGTATTCTGGAAGCAGTGGGCTTAGCCTTCCCAAAACACAGCATGGAAGGTCTAGGATTTCCTCAGGTGGCACTGAGATGAGGTGGAGAGAGGCAGGGAAATGCTGCTGAAGTGTAGCATATAAGCCCAAATTTCAACCTGGGATCAGTACTTTCTCATTTAATGGATTGTGGTGAGGCA